CTGGGAGTTGAAGTCCACTCATCTTAAAGTGGCCAAGTTTGGACAACACTGGCTTAGCTGAGAACTGAAATAGAATTGCAGAGTTCTTGAAATGCATATTTGCCAATTCCTCATTACTGAAATGTCATCTTTTTGGACAGGAAATGCTGATCAAGTTTTTGAGTGTGCTCTGTCAAAAGAAGCTTCTAAAATGAAAGAGAAAAATAGAACATTTCTGTTTTCTGTTAACAGAGTAATTAAGCGGTCTAGTGGTATACACTTGGTCACAAAATGAATTTTATTGCTCCACATCACTGACTAGACTGAAATGTAAGAAAGTATCTATTTCATGATAAGCAGTGTTTAAAACAAACCAATTTGTAAATTTATAAACACTGCGAAGTCTTTCTAATACATTCTTTTGTTATTGGTCCTCAGCTTCTAATGCCGTGTTCTTTTTCATTACCAAAAGGAGCATGGCAAGATTATTCATTATCACTTTTGTTATTTATCCTAGCTGTAAAACTGTTAATAACAATGAAGTGATTAACAATATAAATTGCGTGAAAATTGAGTTTTCAGTTACATGTCCACCATTGTGGTCAGTTAGTACGCATCGTCTTGTGTAAAATTGTAAGTGCAGTCATAGTCATATGATTTTTCACTTAGCAATTGCTTCACTTAACAACTGAGTTGTCGGTCCCAATTATGGTTGCTAAATGAGGACTACCCGTATTATTAAATTGCACTGTGGCTGTTGCCAAACAAAAGAATATATATGCCAACCTGCCTACTAAACTTTTCATAACAGCAGAATAGTACTTCTTTCATCATATAAAAACTTACAGTTTCTGTTCTGAAGAATGATTATTACGAAAGTTAACAATTTAACAGTATAACTCTTTGAAACTACCAGACTATGAAAATAGAATTTTTCCTAAACTCATAATAGTAATCATTTATTAAATGTATATGCCGCCCAACTCCCTGTGATTCCCAACATTATTTTAGTAGAATAATTATTTTGGATTAGGAATTTGATATTTTTACTCAGTGCGTTTTGAAAAGACATTAAGTTCTCTAAACATTTGTTATAAAATGAAGTAGCTGAACATTTAGCTCTCCACTTTTCAGACACCACCATTGCCATCTCCCAATGGCTATAACACTTTCCTTGTGGGCAGAAAGATAGGTTGGAAAGAGCATCTGAAAGAGGATTGCATATTAAGTATAATAAAATATCACAGACACAAATGTTTGGGAGAATAAGAGGTTTCCTTCTTAAGGTGAAGTAAAGGGAAGTGTCTAGACTAAAAAGGGCCATAATTTATTTTTTAGCGTATGTAAATTGGAACTGAGGTTGCATAGCACCTCGTAAGGATGTTTAGATTCATACAGCCCTCCGAGACTTGCTGTGGCTGCTGATCAGCTCCCAGCTCTACCAATATCGAGTTTTGTGCTCCTGCTTCTTAGCTGTGGAGCTCATATCCATTCCGCTTGGTGGCAGGAATTGTTAGGGATTCTTGTCTCTTCTCTTTCCTGGGACTTCCCACAAACTGAGACAAGGCCTTCTGGAAGACAAACTGCTCCTGGTCTAACTCTTGAAACCTGTCACAGTTCCAATAGATGGACCCCCAAATTGGAAGTCCTGCTGCACCCTGGGATTAAGGGTGTGAGGGGGTGCGCAGAGGTGCGCTGTGGGTTGGAGAGGGTGTGAGGGGGTGCGCAAGGGTATGAGGGTGTGTGCGAGAGACATGGATCAGGGAGGATACAAGAGGGTGCGCAAGAGACGCAGGTCAGGGAGGATGCGAGGGGGTGTGTGAGAGATGTGGGTTGGGGAGGATGTGAGGGGGTGCACAAGAGGTGCAGCACGGGTCGGGGAGGGTGTGTGAAAGTGCGCGAGAGGCGCCACGCGGGTTGGGTGTGCAAGGGAGCATGGATTGATGGTGTGCGAGTGCAGGGGGGCTGGGGAAGGCACACGGGTGGGGGAGACTTACCTCAGCGACCTGTGACCTTTCTTGCTGGCTTCCCCATTGACTTTCTTGGGAAGTGTCAGGGTAAGTTGTAAATGGTGATCATGGCAACTGGTCGTAAGTGTGAACAGGTTGCGAAGCACCTAGATCATGATCATGTGACCACGGGGTTGCTGGGATGGCCAGAACTCTGAGGGCTGGTCATAACCACCATTTGTTCAGTGCCATCATAACCTGGAACAGTTGCTGACCAGATGGTTGTAGGTTGAGGACTACCTGTACTGACTTTGTGCCCCAAGCTCTGTCATTATCGTCAATAACACTTCCTTTTTTCTCCCCTAGGACTGCCTTGTTAGAACTAATTCTGTCAGAAATGAAGGAAAATCATGTCGTTATTGGTGAAGAGATGGCCACCTTTCTTGCAGTGTCTTTTGAAGAGAAGTGTCAATCAGTGCTGAGATTGGTTTCTGCCACAAATGAGGACGAGGTAAGATTCTCCTCTCTCATATTAAAATACGAATTGTAAAATGTAATCTGGAGTTCTGCGCTGGGGCACGGGCACAGTGAGTAACAAATTCCGCAGCATGACAGGTCCACATACCAAAGGGGCAGTGCTTCAGTCACAACGTCACGCCTGCCATCTTACAGATTTTGATCCCCGCCCTCCGTGAACGCCTCTGGCTTTGCGACAGTTCAGCTCAGGGGTGAGAACTTCCCAGCACGCCAAGCCAGCCCACCTTTGTGGATAAATATCAGTCTTCTCTGCCCTTAGAACTTTCTTCTCTCTTGGAATGTGAAGAGGTTAGACAAACTATCCTTGCACATATTTACCTATGTATAATAAAATGTCTAAGCCAAAGTGAGTCTGGTGTGAAAAAAATAAGCCGACTAGTGAGAGATTTGCCATACAGGCAGTTTAGGGACAGGTTTGCTTGTGGAGTAACCGTTATTCCTAATTAGAAGCACTTCAGACTAGCTCATGTCAACTCTACTATCAAAGTACAGTAATGCACATTAGTTGTAAGGTGGTTGTTTCCAGCAATAAATGGGAGATTGCAATTGGGAGATTGGTTTGTTTCACTGCTTTCTAGCAGAGGGCAGGGGGCTTGAAACGAGCAAATGCCAAGGAGAAAGAAGAGAAGCCACGTTTTCAGGGACAAAGATGGCAGCTGCGACTGCATGATCCAAGGCCTGATGCTTTTTTTGTCTGTGATTCATAAAAAAGGAGTGGCATTCGGGTCATGTGTCATGGCCGCCATCTTGACACCCCACCCCAGCCCCCATGGATGTCCCCAGGTGGGCAAAAACTTGTCCCTTTGTCTGCTGTCTGTATGCTTAAATGCATATAATTTTTATTTGTTTGTTTGTTTATTCATTCATTCATTCATTCATTCATTCATTCATTCATTCATTCATTCATTCATTCAATTTGTATGCTGCCCATCTCCCCAAGATGGGAGGCTTACAAATTTAATAAATAAATTTAAAAGCAACAATTTAATCAAATCATATGCTAGTTGCAGAGCCTGATTTCTTGAGCACAAAATCATGGAATTATTGTAACCTTTGGTTAGTCAGTAGCTAATCAATCACAAGATAATTCCAGGAATCTTTAATAATAAAAGCCTTTAATAATTAGATAAAATTGGATAAAAGCTATTCTGTAGCATAAGCCTATGTAAGTTCAGCCTTTAATTGCTTTTTATAAACCTTTTTTCTGCAAATGATAATTTGGCAACTAATATATTAGTCCAGGTACAGTTAGACAATGCCGAGAAATGGTTCATCATCAGCTGAATAAATAAAAGGCAAATAAGAATTAATCCTGTTTCTGATATTCTAATATTGGTTACACAGAAATATAAAAACCCCTCTCATTCAAAAATACTGTTTAGCATAACAATTGAATAGTTATTGGAAGTTTAGTATAAATTATGGTAGTTCAGCTGTAGTCACGGATTCTTAGTGATCATAAATTGTGATCTTGGGTCTTTGGATTATCTAAAGAGAACCCCAGTATGTTAGAAATACTCTAGCTAATAATTTTTTGTAATTTTCTGCACAGTGTCAGCCTTATGTTTTGGCTTGTTTATATTCTGGCTTGGAAAGGATTATTGTATTTTCTGTTATCAAAGTTTGTATTTCAGTTTGATGCAGAACTTTTGTATTAAAAATGGCACATCTCAGCACATGTATTCTGTTCTTCCCAATTCTGCATAAAGAACTGCCATTGAAATTGCGTGCCAGGAACGTTTGAGTTCTTAAACTTGTACGAAACCCATAGATTTGTGGATTTGGAATAGATGCTTGACCTTTCGATCTGTAAGAGTAAAGTTCATCCCTTGCCTACCTTGGTATCTAAAAAGCCTAGAAACCTGCTTTTTGCAAAAGATGAGACGAATCTTCTCACAAAACTGAATCTGTTATGTATTGTTTTTTAATCCAGGATACAGTCCTAGAGAAGGTTAGTAAGCGGCATGAATTAATTTGGTCTTGTCGGAGACAGCATCGCCTCTTTGTGCCAATCCGCTGTTCTGACACTGGGGCGAATGGCCAGAGACAGATAAAGGGAAGAAGCTTCGTGCCATGGCCCCCTGTCTGTTGCTTGTCTGGCCTGTTGTTAGTCAAATAAGTCTCTGTGCTTAAAAGGCAAAGAAACAAGAACTTCCTCTCCGTTTCTTTCTCTCTGTCTCTCTCACACATACACCTTGGTCCAGTGTTTCTCAACCATGGCCACTTGAAGATGCGTGGACTTCAACTCCCAGAATTCCCCAGCCAGCATAATTAATATCTGATCGCATTCATTGGTAGATGGGCTAAGCTTGTAGTCTGCATCCAAGACAATTATATTATGATTATTTTTCTTTTTGAATGGAACCCAGTGCTACTTAATTACTCTTCCTTTAGTACTCAGGAGCATATCCTCTAAGAAGGGCTCCTGCTGAATTCAAATACCCAACAGGAGTAAAAGTAGATAATTTAATTATAGTTAGATATTTTAAGGTGGAAGTGCATTACCTGCTTGATTTCAAACTTATTGCCTGTTTTCTGTAGGAAGCACTGGTTACGATTCGTCTTCTTGATGTTCTTTGTGAAGTGACATCAAATCCTGGAGAACTGCAGTCTTTGCAAGCTTGCCCTGGTTTGCTTGAGGTGGCTATCAGTAAGTGGAAATTTTTTATGATGCCCAAATGGAATAATTGAAAGAGAATATTGTTTTTAACTTTGCTGGAAAATAAAGTTGTACAGTTGATATATGAATAAATACTGAACAATGGGAAGCAGAAAAGATTTCTGCCGCTTTATTTCATAGCTCACATTTGAGCTATAATGCCTAATATTTTCTCTAACGTGCCATAAAGTGGCCAGGAACCTGTACATTTTGTATATGCAGAAGACTTAAGTGGGAACCTGCTACTAGTGCTTCAAAGTAATTAGGGTACATTGAAAAGCATGAAACAAGGGTCACTGTCAGCCACATCCTGGAATCTCCATAGGAAGACCATTGGGGTACAGGTCATCCCAGCCAGTAAGAAGGCCTGATGAGACACACAATGTACTAGGAGTTTGGGATTTACGGTGACAGTTTCTGGTGGCCAAAGTTGCTTCCCCTGCCTCAGAGTAAGCTTGGGCCAAGGAAACGCTTGCATTGTAGGGGTGAGCATAAATGGTTTAAAAGAGTTTGCAAATACCTTGATTCAACTCTTAAGCATTCTTGCAGCCTCCCTAATTCAGATGATGAGTCGTGCCATCTCTGTCGCAGTGCCTCTCCTCTGTGGATCAGCATCCCACCAGGGCTGGCCCCAGCCCCATTAGCCTTTCGTCAGGCATTAAAGACCTGGCTCTTCCCACATATGTTTGAGCCAAGATGTATTCTCGTGCTTTGCCCTGTGGGGCTTTATAGGTCATAACCAGCACTTTGAATTGGGCCTCGAAGCCTAATGGTCGCCAGTATAGTGTCCTTAGAATAGGCATTCGTCTGCTTTGGCAGATTTGCCCCACCAGCAGTTTGGTTGTCTCCAAAGGCAGCCTCGTGTACAGTCTTTTGCAGTAGTCTGGCCATGTGGTGAGTTAGAATTGGCAGGGCATCCTGGATTTAGATAGAGCCATTGCTGAGCCCAAGCACCCTCTGCTGTTGAAGCAGGAGCACCAACAAGAGGATCCCCAACTTTTCAGCGGGGAGTGTCACCCCACCCAGAGTGACTGCCAGGACTGATTTTGACAGATTGCCCAGATGATGATTCCTGAATAGTAGCTCCATCTTGGTAGGATTTAATCTGAGCTAGTTTCACTGCATCCAACCCTGCACGTACCTTCAGGTTGATCTTGACTCCTGGCAATTGACTCAACTAGTCCCTGCAATTTTTTTGGCAATATTTTCAGAAGTGCTTTGCCCTTGCCTCTTTCCCAGGGCTGAGAGAGAGCGACTGGCCCAAAGGCACCCAGCTGGCTTTGTGCCCAAGGCAGGACTAGAACTCACCATCTCCCAGTTTCTAGCCTGGTGCCTTTAACTGTTATACCAAAATGGTTCTCCTACCAGTACATATAGATCTTTCCAGCTGAAGAGAATAGTAATACATGTAGATCTTTAAATACTTTATTGAATGTATTTTTTTTCTATCTTGCTTTGTATTTTTATGTTGTTGTTGTTTTTTACTTTGGGAGTGACACACCAGACAACTTCGCCTCTCATTTTTGACAAGGCCAGTTGCCTTGAGTTCTAAATGTGTAATCTCCCTCCTTGATTGAGGCAAATTGTCCCTGAACCCCAGATTCTTTTCCTCCTACTTATTTTCCTGAAAAAGACTATTCCAGTGCTTCTTTGAATTCTAAGAAGAGTCAGATTGATTTTCTTTGTAATTTGATCTTAATACCTGCAATAATTACTTTCTTTGTTTAGGCCTCTTGCAGCTTGTACATCTTGCTGGTAAGCAGACCGCAAACATCTTCACAGCTTCTTATTCAACAGAGCAGGAAGAAATTTCCCATCCTGCTGTGGGCTTTAAATCACATCTGATTCGTCTGATTGGAAATTTATGTTACAAGAATAAGAGTAATCAAGACAAGGTGAGCCAGAGAATATAAGCACCCTGTAGGGCCAATGACATGTAGCTTTTGCACCGTTCTGCAAAGAAAGCGCCAATATATTGTTTTTCACATTCCCCAAAGGTTTCAAACCATTCAATCTTCTGATACGCAACCCAGGCATTTGGAACACTTTTTAAAATGCCCACTTTATAATAATAATCATCAGGTTACTTTATTTATTTGCTTGTTTATAATGAAAGACTCTTTACATGGTTTCCACTAGAAGAGTCACTTTGTGTGAGAAGGGCGGCTATATAAATATGACATATCAATAAATAAAATCATAAGATTGTATGCATATAAGACAAACATAAAAAAGAATAAAAATAGCAGCAGAACAAAAAGTAAAACAAGTGATACAGTACAATGTTGTGAAATAAAGATTAAAACAGTCTTGGGTTGAACTCAACTCCTGCTGACTTCCATTGGCACGGCCATTCAGTTTTGCATGCAGCAGTATGGAAGTTACTTGCCATTCCTTCCTCCAGTCATAAAATCTTCCTAGATTCAAGTTCAGGCCACAACGTCTGATTGGGTGCGGAGCAGCGGCGGTGGCTGTGCAATGCGAGGAATGTAACCCAGGAGGAAGGTGTGGGTTGGCAGAAATATGCAGAAGGATGATCAATACAGCCTCCCGGTGAACAGGTGGCACTGCCTGGTTGCAAATCGGTCTCTGCTGCTGCTCT